GGGGGGGGGGGGGTACTTGAGGCTGAGCTGAGGCGTGTTCCTCGTTGGAGCGTTGAACCACATCCTGACGTCTCCTGACCTTCCTGAGAACAACAGAAGCTTCTCTGGATCTTCAGCAGAAGCTCGCGTGGTCTCCTGCAGCGTCCTGGCAGTGTCAGATGTTCCCTGCAGGAAGACCTGATCTAACATCTTCACCTGAGAACGGATCTGACCCCTACTGGAACAGGATCCATCTCACTTCCTCCTGCAGATCAGAGTGCTCTTTACTTCCTGTACTTTTCAAAATAAAACGGTATTTTTTTTACTTGCTTCTGGAGACAAACCTGATGTTTCGTGCCCAGGCCAGTCTCACCTGTCCCTCGTTATAATTACCTCAGGTGTGCTCACTCCTCTCCTCACTCCACACAGATGCTCAGTGGAGCATCGTGTGTTCTCACGCCATGTCCGGTTCTTCTCGTACGGTTCTTTGAGCCCCCCAGCCCACCCCCCTTTCCTTTTTATTAAAATAGTGTTTGTCTTTCTGAAGCTCCTCCCAGATCCAGACCTACAAACCGGGACAGGATGCAGTGAAAGCTGTGCACGTGTCTTTAGATGCAGTTAAAAGAGGAGAGGTTGAGCTGCTCTGGAATCAGGCAGCTTGAAAATATAACGAAACAAAAACAGAAGCAGATTATTTTACTCCTGAATTGTTGTATTTTTGTCCCCATCACTGAGCAAAGGGACTTGGAAACACATTTAATCCGTCCATCCATCTTGAGAACTGGATTACTTCAAATATGAGCAAAGAGACGACTCCCACTTCTGTCTGTGGATGCATCTGTAGCTTTAAGTGAAGATGTCACGTCAAAATCCAGCATGACCACGAACATGTGCTGCATGTGAATTAACCACCTCTGAGGAAACTATCCTTTTGGAAATTGTTTAAAACAGTATAGTTTCCTTAAATTAAAATTAATCTGTGGCCACAGATTATGTTGGCCAAGGCCTCCACTGCCCCCCTGACTCCTCCATTGCACCTGCTGGTGAACAGAGTTGCTCCCTCAACGCACCAAGATCCATCACTGCGCCGCCTCGTAGAGTAAATCTTCTCCCTCCAAATCTTTATCGGCAAAGATTGGCAACACTTCCTCCCTGGTAAACAAAAATGGCCCTAAACTTCCTTTAAGTCTTTCCAAAACACACATGAACATCATGTGGAGAGAAGCGTAGTGCTCTGCTCACACAAGGAGAGCTGTTGGTCAGGATACTCGTGCTCTTCAGCTGAAGCTGAAAGAAGTTTTAGGCCTTCAAGAAGGCGTCAGACATGGCTTCACTGCTCCATGAAACAGCAACGTTTCAACAATGTCTGCCACATACACCAAGACAGACCTGATCAGATGAGTGAGATCTGCCAGACTTTGTTTCTGTCATGACATGGTGGCACAGTTTTGGAAGTTTTATCTAACCTGAGCAGGAAGAACTTGTCTTGACTTTGTCCTAAGATTAGAAAAGTCCAGCTGACGTTGTTACAGAGAAGGACAAATATCATGTTGAGGAGAAAGAAGCCAAGTACCACGAGTTTTCTGTAAACTTGTTAAAATCATTGATGAGGAAGGAAAACAACGGGAGGAGATCCAGACCTACAAACTGGGACAGGATGCAGTGAACGGGAGGAGATGGATGTTATTCCAAGAGGACCGTGAAGGAAAGAAGAATAAAAGTTATGAACTGTAGAAACTGTGGCACCAAGAATGAACATGTAAATTATTTAGTTGTAAAATGACCAAACTGTTTTTTGTGTCTCTGTTGTTGGAACAGTGAAATCTGTTGTTGTGAAAGCTGCATCACGTCCTTTCTGTTTTCAGGAGGTCTCTCACTAAATCACTAGTGTTCTGGTCCGACCCTGTGGACCGGGGTGCAGGTGTGTGGGTGGACCGGCAGGTGGCGCACTGTGCAGCTGAGGTGTGAGCGAGTTCATCAACACCTGCGAGGGTTCTTGTTGTTGTTGCTGTTGTTGTTGTTGTTGCTGTTGTTGTTGTTGTTGTTGTTGCTGTTGTTGTTGTTGTTGTTGTTGTTGTTGTTGTTGTTGTTGTTGTTGTTGTTGTTGCTGTTGTTGTTGTTGTTGTTG